AACTATAAATGTTCTGTAAAACAATGAACAGCAGCTTTCAGCCTGTCACCATGATGCAAACATTAAAACTTCACATACACAGTAGTAGTTCTTTACAGGTTTTTTATTCGATTGCGCTGCTTTTCCATTGTTTTTTCTGTGTAAACATGGATGTGTTTGACTGTTGCGCTCACGTCTCTTGCAGCATCTCATGCATGAAACGCCAGTCTAAAAACACGGCGCTCAAATGAAAAGAAGTTCACTCCCATCTTCTTGCATGTTTTTCTTATTCCACTGCCCGCGTCGCATCTTTGTCAACACAAAAGCGCATTCTGTGTGATATGAATGCGTCACACGTGAGCGGTTAATCGTGTTTGCATCATTCTTTTCTCTTACCTGTTATCATTGCCATATTGTCAAAGTGTCTAATTCTAACGTTTGGTAATATTTCTTTTCAAAATCGCGATTCCTCGATTTCTACAAAATACAATCACGGCAAAACATTACATTTGAATTAATCGATAAAAACTGAAAAATCGCCCAGCCCTAATAATAATAGCTAAATAATACTTAAATGACATTGGTTTAACATCATGATGTCAAATGTCATTTGTTCTCAACATTAAGTCTCAGTTATGTCAAGTCATTTTAGCGACACATTTGAGTGAATCTTAAGAGCTTGAACAGAGTGAAAGATTTTACTTTAAAGTACTTTCTGTTGTTGTGTTTTAATGTGCAGAATCACTATTGGTTGAATTAATGAAGAGTTTAAAGACTAAGAGTTTAAACGTCGGCTTTTTGTCTTGAACAACTCAACATGCCACGGGACGGCAGTAGGAGTGTTAGGAGCTTGTTTGAAAGCAGTCACTGTCGTGATTTTGTTTGGCGCCGCTGAACGCTTCACCGTAACTAATCGGTGTTTGTTGTCCTGCAGCGGTGTTCACCGAGGTCCCTCATGACATCACGGCGCAGAGCGGGCAGGACGTGGAGATGGCCTGCTCCTTCAGAGGTGCCGGATCGCCCTCCTACTCGCTGGAGATTCAGTGGTGGTACATCAGGAACCACAGAGAATGGACCGACAAGCAGACGTGGAGCACCAATCAGGTACAGGTTAATGCAGCGCTGTTCTGAGTGATTGCTGAAATCGTGTGTGTTGTTGAGGAGAGGAGCGGTGCTTTACTAAATGATCAGAGGAACCGTTTGCACCTGCTGGACCAGAAAACAGGTGAATGAATCCCTCTGACGCACACTGAACCCGAGCCACAACTAGAGACGAAGGGGTGTACTGTTTACACCAAACAGAAAGACACCACCTTGCAACCACCCAGAACACTAGTAGCTACTTAGAACACCTGAGCAACTACATAACAACCAGAACACCCTAGCAACCACACAGCAACCAAGAAATCTCTAGCAACCCCCTACAGTAGAATACGCTAGCAACACCAAAAACACCCTAGAAACCACATAGCAACCAAGAAGACCTTGGCAACCACCAAGAGCACCCTAACAACCACTTAGCAACCACCCTAACAAATGCATAGCAACCAAGAACACACTAGCAACACCATAGCAACCACCCAGGGGCGTGTTTCCTAAAAGCAACTATGGTCGCAAGTTCCGTCATTACCAATAGAGTTCAATGGAACTAACAACCATAGTTAGCTAATGATGCTTTTGGGTAATGCACCCCAAAACATTAGCAACTGCCCAGAACACTAATAACTACCTAGAACACCCGAGCAACCAAGAACTTTCCAACATCCACCTATAATGCCCTAGCAACCACTGAGAACACTCTAGCAACCACATAGCAACCAAGAACTCTCAAACATCCACCTATAATGCCCTAGCAACCACCGAGAACACTCTAGCAACAGCACAGCAATCAGAACACTCTAGCAACCACCTAAAATACCCTAGCAACCACATAGCAACCAAGAACACTTTGGCAACCACCTACAATACTTTAGCAACCACAAAGAGCACCCAGAACACTCTAGCAACCACATAGCGACCAAAAAAAATTATAGCAACCACTTAGAAACCACCCAGAACACCCTAGCAACTGCATAGCAACCAAGAACACTCTAGCAACCACTCAGAACACCCTACCAACAGCATATCAATCAAGAAAACTCTAGCAACCACCTAGAATACCCCAGCAACCAAGAACACTTTGGCAACCACCTACGATACCATAGCAACCATTAAGAGAGCACCCTAGCAACTACCCAGAACACCCTAGCAACTGCATAGCTACCACGAACACTCTAGCAACCACCTAGAATACCATAGCAACACTAAAACACCCTAGCAACCAAGAATACAATACAACCACCTACAATACAAATTAGGGATGTAACGATTCACTCAACTCACGATTCGATTCGATTCATGATTTTGATTCCACGATTCGATTCACAATTTTTTTTTAACAAAATGAGATTTAAGACAAATTATAAATTAATTTGTGATTAAATTTTAAATTAAAGTGTCCTTTTATTTTTGCTTGGACAAAATGCTGCACGTTTCTTTGTGAAATTAAAATATAACACTATAATAATATACTAATATAGCACTTGCATATCATTGCTCTTTTGTTGGTTTTGATTGCTTCTATTGTCCTCATTTGTAAGGCGCTTTGGATAAAAGCATCTGCTGAATGACAAAATTTTAATATAATGTAAATGTAAATAACAAAACTACATTTTAAAACAAGCTCCAAATTAAATAAATAAGTAACACAAATTAAATAAATCTCTTCATATAAACAAAATAAGGCTTTGTCTGTGCTCTTAACATTTAAAATTAGAGGCAACCACTGCATTTTAATCATGATCCAAACAAAGATGCTGCATGCTTGCAACATGAGCAGTTTTTAATCTAAATGAGATTGTATAATTTCGAAATTTGAAGCAAAAACAGAATGATTTGACTTCAGTTTTGTGAAACTATACATAAAAATATCTGCATGAAACCGAAACAGCAGACGAGCTGAACGAGACGCAGATGCACTCTCTGCCAGCAGGTGGCGCTTAAAGCGTTTCCTTGGTTTCGGCTTTAAACAAAGCAGCGCTGCACTTATGAACTTTAATATGCATTATAAAGAGGCAAGAGGAAAAGAAAAGGTACCATCTAAACTTTTCTAAAGACAGTAAGTTCCCCTCAGACATACATTCATATAAACGACCCCTAATTGAATCACGATTTGTTTAGCATCTCAACTGATTTGAATCGTCACATATTTTAATTGATTTTCAACCGGCTCGCGGTTAAACGTTACATCCCTAATACAAATACAAACCACTTAGCAATCACCCAGAACACCCGAGTAATCACATAGCAACCAAAATAACTCTAGTAACCACCTAGAATACCCTAGCAACCACCCAGAACACCCTAGCAACCGCATAGCAGCCACTATGTACAGTAATGACACTCGTCTCCTGTAACGTGCACACATGATCTCTCAGCTGTCAGCTGTAGGTTGAGGGTTCAGTGTCAGTGTGTGGGGATTAAATCTGATCCAGAAAGCATAATGTTATTAAGATGATAATCCCAGCGTTCTGTCAGCCCTTAACCTGTGCAAATATCTGCCTGCAGTTACTATTACTAACAATACACACAACAACATGATAGGCAGCGGCCCACTGTCACACGCCTGCAATTATACGGCCATTTCCTCTTCCTGTCTGCACTCATGCCAGTCAAATACAGCGGCCTATTTTAAGAGACTGAGAGAGAGAGGGTTCAGCACACACACACACACACACACACACGCGTTAATAACAAGCTGTCAATCAAAGGCTTCAGCTAAAATGTAACTACAGCATGATTCGAGTAACATTTTCTTTATTAACCCTCTAGTTAAAGAACATTCTATTCCAAGTGCAGCACACATGAAGTTGTCAACATGATGTAAATCTTAAACAAATCACTTGTTAAATATCTTTGCAGAAAAGATGCATGAACTACAACTACATTTTGTACAAACTTGTCTTATACATATTGTATGTTCAGAAATAATATGAGGAAAATGCTTTTCAAAAAATCTCAAGTCAAGGTATAATTCAAATTCAAAATGACTAATGGTATAACACCAGTAGACTATTATTAACTATAAATGTTCTGTAAAACAATGAACAGCAGCTTTCAGCCTGTCACCATGATGCAAACATTAAAACTTCACATACACAGTAGTAGTTCTTTACAGGTTTTTTATTCGATTGCGCTGCTTTTCCATTGTTTTTTCTGTGTAAACATGGATGTGTTTGACTGTTGCGCTCACGTCTCTTGCAGCATCTCATGCATGAAACGCCAGTCTAAAAACACGGCGCTCAAATGAAAAGAAGTTCACTCCCATCTTCTTGCATGTTTTTCTTATTCCACTGCCCGCGTCGCATCTTTGTCAACACAAAAGCGCATTCTGTGTGATATGAATGCGTCACACGTGAGCGGTTAATCGTGTTTGCATCATTCTTTTCTCTTACCTGTTATCATTGCCATATTGTCAAAGTGTCTAATTCTAACGTTTGGTAATATTTCTTTTCAAAATCGCGATTCCTCGATTTCTACAAAATACAATCACGGCAAAACATTACATTTGAATTAATCGATAAAAACTGAAAAATCGCCCAGCCCTAATAATAATAGCTAAATAATACTTAAATGACATTGGTTTAACATCATGATGTCAAATGTCATTTGTTCTCAACATTAAGTCTCAGTTATGTCAAGTCATTTTAGCGACACATTTGAGTGAATCTTAAGAGCTTGAACAGAGTGAAAGATTTTACTTTAAAGTACTTTCTGTTGTTGTGTTTTAATGTGCAGAATCACTATTGGTTGAATTAATGAAGAGTTTAAAGACTAAGAGTTTAAACGTCGGCTTTTTGTCTTGAACAACTCAACATGCCACGGGACGGCAGTAGGAGTGTTAGGAGCTTGTTTGAAAGCAGTCACTGTCGTGATTTTGTTTGGCGCCGCTGAACGCTTCACCGTAACTAATCGGTGTTTGTTGTCCTGCAGCGGTGTTCACCGAGGTCCCTCATGACATCACGGCGCAGAGCGGGCAGGACGTGGAGATGGCCTGCTCCTTCAGAGGTGCCGGATCGCCCTCCTACTCGCTGGAGATTCAGTGGTGGTACATCAGGAACCACAGAGAATGGACCGACAAGCAGACGTGGAGCACCAATCAGGTACAGGTTAATGCAGCGCTGTTCTGAGTGATTGCTGAAATCGTGTGTGTTGTTGAGGAGAGGAGCGGTGCTTTACTAAATGATCAGAGGAACCGTTTGCACCTGCTGGACCAGAAAACAGGTGAATGAATCCCTCTGACGCACACTGAACCCGAGCCACAACTAGAGACGAAGGGGTGTACTGTTTACACCAAACAGAAAGACACCACCTTGCAACCACCCAGAACACTAGTAGCTACTTAGAACACCTGAGCAACTACATAACAACCAGAACACCCTAGCAACCACACAGCAACCAAGAAATCTCTAGCAACCCCCTACAGTAGAATACGCTAGCAACACCAAAAACACCCTAGAAACCACATAGCAACCAAGAAGACCTTGGCAACCACCAAGAGCACCCTAACAACCACTTAGCAACCACCCTAACAAATGCATAGCAACCAAGAACACACTAGCAACACCATAGCAACCACCCAGGGGCGTGTTTCCTAAAAGCAACTATGGTCGCAAGTTCCGTCATTACCAATAGAGTTCAATGGAACTAACAACCATAGTTAGCTAATGATGCTTTTGGGTAATGCACCCCAAAACATTAGCAACTGCCCAGAACACTAATAACTACCTAGAACACCCGAGCAACCAAGAACTTTCCAACATCCACCTATAATGCCCTAGCAACCACCGAGAACACTCTAGCAACAGCACAGCAATCAGAACACTCTAGCAACCACCTAAAATACCCTAGCAACCACATAGCAACCAAGAACACTTTGGCAACCACCTACAATACTTTAGCAACCACAAAGAGCACCCAGAACACTCTAGCAACCACATAGCGACCAAAAAAAATTATAGCAACCACTTAGAAACCACCCAGAACACCCTAGCAACTGCATAGCAACCAAGAACACTCTAGCAACCACTCAGAACACCCTACCAACCGCATATCAATCAAGAAAACTCTAGCAACCACCTAGAATACCCCAGCAACCAAGAACACTTTGGCAACCACCTACGATACCATAGCAACCATTAAGAGAGCACCCTAGCAACTACCCAGAACACCCTAGCAACTGCATAGCTACCACGAACACTCTAGCAACCACCTAGAATACCATAGCAACACTAAAACACCCTAGCAACCAAGAATACAATACAACCACCTACAATACAAATTAGGGATGTAACGATTCACTCAACTCACGATTCGATTCGATTCATGATTTTGATTCCACGATTCGATTCACAATTTTTTTTTAACAAAATGAGATTTAAGACAAATTATAAATTAATTTGTGATTAAATTTTAAATTAAAGTGTCCTTTTATTTTTGCTTGGACAAAATGCTGCACGTTTCTTTGTGAAATTAAAATATAACACTATAATAATATACTAATATAGCACTTGCATATCATTGCTCTTTTGTTGGTTTTGATTGCTTCTATTGTCCTCATTTGTAAGGCGCTTTGGATAAAAGCATCTGCTGAATGACAAAATTTTAATATAATGTAAATGTAAATAACAAAACTACATTTTAAAACAAGCTCCAAATTAAATAAATAAGTAACACAAATTAAATAAATCTCTTCATATAAACAAAATAAGGCTTTGTCTGTGCTCTTAACATTTAAAATTAGAGGCAACCACTGCATTTTAATCATGATCCAAACAAAGATGCTGCATGCTTGCAACATGAGCAGTTTTTAATCTAAATGAGATTGTATAATTTCGAAATTTGAAGCAAAAACAGAATGATTTGACTTCAGTTTTGTGAAACTATACATAAAAATATCTGCATGAAACCGAAACAGCAGACGAGCTGAACGAGACGCAGATGCACTCTCTGCCAGCAGGTGGCGCTTAAAGCGTTTCCTTGGTTTCGGCTTTAAACAAAGCAGCGCTGCACTTATGAACTTTAATATGCATTATAAAGAGGCAAGAGGAAAAGAAAAGGTACCATCTAAACTTTTCTAAAGACAGTAAGTTCCCCTCAGACATACATTCATATAAACGACCCCTAATTGAATCACGATTTGTTTAGCATCTCAACTGATTTGAATCGTCACATATTTTAATTGATTTTCAACCGGCTCGCGGTTAAACGTTACATCCCTAATACAAATACAAACCACTTAGCAATCACCCAGAACACCCGAGTAATCACATAGCAACCAAAATAACTCTAGTAACCACCTAGAATACCCTAGCAACCACCCAGAACACCCTAGCAACCGCATAGCAGCCACTATGTACAGTAATGACACTCGTCTCCTGTAACGTGCACACATGATCTCTCAGCTGTCAGCTGTAGGTTGAGGGTTCAGTGTCAGTGTGTGGGGATTAAATCTGATCCAGAAAGCATAATGTTATTAAGATGATAATCCCAGCGTTCTGTCAGCCCTTAACCTGTGCAAATATCTGCCTGCAGTTACTATTACTAACAATACACACAACAACATGATAGGCAGCGGCCCACTGTCACACGCCTGCAATTATACGGCCATTTCCTCTTCCTGTCTGCACTCATGCCAGTCAAATACAGCGGCCTATTTTAAGAGACTGAGAGAGAGAGGGTTCAGCACACACACACACACACACACACACGCGTTAATAACCAGCTGTCAATCAAAGGCTTCAGCTGCACAGCATCACCTGCATGAACACAGACGATCACAGACAGCCTGAGAAATTCAATACATTTCTACAGATGAAAGACAATGGCCATACAGTCATCTGAAATGTCTGCATTATATTTCAAAATATCACAGCAGCTGTCATTTATTGTAAAGAAAGATGCACAATTAGACATTACAAGCAAAACATTTGACAGAAGGACATTCGTTGGGTTTGAAATGATCAAACAATAGATCTAGTGTTGACAATGAAGACTAAAAATCACTAGAACTAGAGTCATAGAGATATTGATGATGATATTCAAACATTTTAAGTGTGCAAATATGTTTTGGTGCTGCTTTGTTATTAGTAGGTACATTAGTATTATATTAGTAGGTATCAGAGTGTCTCTTCAACTGTGGGTGTGTTTGATCCTGTGGACTTTTAGAAAATTAAAGTAATGTCTTAAATTATTTAATTTGTCTTCTAAGAATGTCCAACGGTGGACATGCATAATTATTCAAAATGAAATGCAATGTGGCTTAGTGCAATTAACATACTGCAGATTGTTTTAATTAAATACATATACAAATATTAATACAATTACGAAAAATTACAAATATTACAAAAATATTAAAATTGGTCATATTTCTTATTTAATTTTTTTTTCATTTTTGTGAATTGCATTTTAAATCACAATCACAGTTTTTATTCCCCTAAATCTTGCACCTGTAAACATATATAACCACAAGAGAAATCTTTTTTTTTCTTCTGAAAATGTACTGTTTGATTCCACAAATGTCATTACCACATCTCAAAACTTTTTTTTAAAACTTTATTTATTTACTTTAAAAAAAAAAAAAAAATGACCATTTCATTCTAAATCCATAGTTAGCATTGTGTATCCTGAATTCAATATTTTAGTTTTTAGCATCATTTGATGAAATTACAGCTTCATTAGAAAGAATGCATAATAAATGTCCTTGATTCCTTTTTTTAATAGTTTATGACCGAAAGTCTGGATCTAGGACCAATAAATAAATAAAAATCTAAACGTGCAAGACATTTAAAAAGTAGTGCGAATAAATGATGAAGACCTTTCCATTGTGGTTTGAATAACAAAAGTAAAAAAATTAAAAAGTGGCCAGAGCTGAAGAAACACAAACATGAGGTGAGCAGAGGAGAGGAGAGGATACAGCGGTATTAATGGAGCCGCGAGTCTGCAGCAGGTAACAGTCCACACAACATTAATCACAACCAGTAGAAATAGCTGCAGGTTCCCCAGACTCCAGAGAGAGAGAGAGAGAGAGATTGCAGGGCTTCCTGCTGTGAACTCAAGATGCTTTTTAATTGGATGGAGGGATGAAAAAGAGGGACATGGAGAAACTCTTGCTCACCTTTGCATCATGTATTATTCATGAAGGACACTTGAGGATCCGCCGCGGCCAGTTAATATTGCATGCTGCTGAACCAACATCTCATTCCAGAACACTGGACCCGAGTGTCATTGTGTGTGTGTGTGTGTGTGTGTGTGTGTGTGTGTTCGAATGTCCTGCTGCTGTTTGTTGCACTCATAGAGTAACTGTATTAGACACATGGATATTCTCTGTAGAATGACCAAAGTTTAATGAATAATTCAATCAAAAATTAAAATTCTTGTTCATTTTGTGCCACATTTGACCGTGAATGATTTAGGAACTTGAGGGCGAGTAAATAATGAAAATGATTTTAATTTGGGGTAGAACTGTCACTTTAACACTTACAAAGTACATTAAAAAGTAAATGTTTAGCTGAGAAATAATAATAAGAACTCTATGTGTGAACAACAGCCTGACTTTTTCTGTTGTAAACAACATGAACAATTCAAATCAAAGACATACAGGCATCTACTAATAAACATCAGGGACTAAAGCAAATTCACTGTGAGATGTTTGACTTTTTCTCTTGGGAAGCTGCTAAATCAGAAATATGAGGGTCCAAATATCAGTGCTCAATTTTTTTTTATGTGAAATAACCCCTTGCCATAGGAAAAAAATAATGTAGCTCCAAAGGAAAATACCATTTCATGTATTGCATTTTAACTTAATGTTTGTATTTTGTTAATATTTTAGTTTGTTGTATTAATGAATTTGTGATTGTATATTCAATTTCGTTTATTGTATGCTTGTAGCACTTTAGGGTGATAAAATAAATATCACAAATAATATGTAATATTATCAGAGTTCAGTATATTTAAGATCAGAGTTAATGAAAAGTAGAAAAGTAAATCATACAAATGTACAGTTAAAATAAGTAATTCAAAAATGAAAACAATGAAAATAAATCTATTATTTCATAATTACATGTTTTTTAATATTATAAATATGCATTTTATATAAGATGTAATTCTGAATATATAGTTATAAATGAGAATGTATATGTAGTTGCAAATCTGAATATGTTGATATGATGCATGATTGAGTGTTATTTTAGAATCACTGATATGCTATTATAGTTATTTTATTTTTAGTTTATATAGTTTTAGTTATTTTAGGATGTCAAGTTAAACTAGACAAAATGAGAAATGTTGCTTTTGCAAACTAGCTGAAAGAAAATAAAATTTCATTTATTTTATTTCAAGTAACTCTAATATGACTACAAGTTTTTTTTCTTCATTGCAGGTGGTGCAGCAGAATGAGATGTCAAAGGATGCCACCAAAATCAGTGTAAGTGTGTGACGTTTGTCGTTTCCTCCTCATTTCCTTCGTGAAGGTCTCTTTCGTGTTCGTTCACGGCTGCCGTCTTCTGCTCAGCGAGAGAAAGTAAAAATCCATGTTGTGAGTGTTTGTCAGGGTGAATAACTGGAGCGTGCAAACACAACATCGCACTCGCTTGGGCTAAAGGTGATTTGTTAGCAACTTGCTCTGCTCTTGCTGGTTGAGCCGCTGCAGGCTGTGTGTGTGTGTGTGTGTGTGTGTGTGTGTGTGTGTGAGTGAGTGAGTGAGTGAGTGAGTGAGTGAGTGAGTGAGTGAGTGAGTGAGTGAGTGTGAGACGCAGGAGTCTCGTCGTGTTGAAGTCATACAGCCTCAGAGAGCCGCTCAAACACAGAGTGCGGTTTGGAGTGTGTTTGCTGATAGTTCAACAGTATCACACACTCACACTGATGCTGCTGTATCAATATCTGCTGTGATTGTGCCGCAGGTGATCATAACTGTGCTGATATTCAGATCAACAGCATGGATATCAGTATGATATTGTGTAAACAAGCAGTTAATGCTGAGCAACAAATTTCAGACACACTCTTTCATGAACATTTGTTCAATTTGCGCTCAACTAAATAAGATATTCCCAAAATAAACCAAAACAGGATCATGCAATCATGCAATTCTACGTAATCACACAAGTAATATTTTACTTTACCTTACAGCTTGGAATAATTTGAGGAAAAAAATGAATTGCAACCCCCCCCCGTGTATTTGTTTTAATTTTAATACATTTTAATTCATTTAATGATTCTTTTTTTTTTTTAAGCTCCAGTTTTGTAATTATTGTTATTATTGCTGTTGTTGTTATTATTAGTAGTTTAACTAAATATAAATATGAAACAAAATGTTGAAAAATTGAGTATTCAAAAAATTTTCTTAAATTTAATGGAAAAAATATATTTTTAAACTTTTACAGTACAAATGTAAAATTATAATTCTATTATATCTTAATTTTTTCCCCTTTTTTACCATTAAACCATCAAGCTTTTATCCAAACCATTATGTTAGCATCGAGATTATATCATAGTTTTTATACATTTGTTTTATTTGTTTTTTCATCTTGTTTTTGTAATTTTGTCGTTTTTTTGCCCTTTTTAGTCGTTTGTTTTTCTTAATATCTAAATATAGTTTTTATTAATTTTATTTCAGTTTTAGTTATTTTAGTACATCAAGTTAAACTACATGAAAATTATAAATGTTGCTTGAATAGCTTTTTTATTTAGTCAGGTCATTTTATTTCAAGTTATGATATTGTTTTTATGGTTTTAGTTTTGGTTTAACTATAAAATCCCGATCTGAACCCATGGGGCCAATAAGTGGTTTTTGTGCCACCCAGTATCCGAATTTCTCATGACATTAAAAGGTTACAATAAATTTTTTTTTTTTTTTAAGCATCTGTTAGTCACACACTTATTGGCGTTTGGCATCTAAATAGCTTTTCTAAGCGTGTCTGATCAGGGATGAGTGGATAGCGCATTGACTAGTAAGATTTGAGAATATGGAGTTTTGCAGGCTCATTCTCTCAGTAGGATGTTGAAGGTGAGTGTGTGTGTGTGTGTGTGTGGGTGGATAAATCAAAGCATCTCTCTTCTGCTACTTCATTAAATATTCACAAGGACATTTGCTTCCAGTGTGAAAGCAGAGCTCTGGATCTGAGGCTGGAGGTTCTCTGGAAGCACGCCGTCCAGCCGCTGATGTTCACGATGGCGCCGGTTTACACTCTCGTGCATCTAACTGTGCTGTTATTTCTGATTGTAGAGAAGCTGATAGCTAGAGCGTGTTTGTTAACACACTCGACATATGTAGTGCTGTGGAAACGGCGCCAGCGAGTGGAGTTAATGTGTGTGCATGCGGGTTTGTGAATGTATGTTTATTTATCCACCTGATCCACACTCAATCTGCTTCACTGGCAGACGGCTTTATTAAGCGTCTGGACCCGCGCTCAGAGTCCTCTGGGAACGCTGACCGCTTTAGAGAGAGATTGTCCTATTGTCTCTGTGCTTCAGAGGAAGAGAGAAAGAGAGAGAGCTGTTGTGTGAATGTGTCTCTCATGTGTCTGCGGTTCCACAGCTCATCTCATTACTGCTCACATGCAGACTGATGCATTTCACTCTTTCACTGCATTTCACTGCATTGCATTGCCTCAACTGTTGCATTTCACTCACTTGCTGCATTTTACTGTATTTAATTGCCTCCACTATTGCATTTCAATCTCTCGCTGCATTTCATTGCATTGCCTCAACTGTTGTATTTCACTCTCTCACCGCATTTCACTACACATTGCATTGCCTCATTTGTTGTATTTTACTCCCTCACTCCATTTCACTGCATTGCATTGCCTCAGCTGTTGTATTTCACTCCCTCACTGCATTTTACTGCATTTCATTGCATCCACTGATGCATTTTACTGTCACTGCATTGCTTCCACTGTTGCATTTCACTGCATTGCCTCAGCTGTTGTATTTCACTCACTTGCTGTGTTTTACTGCATTGCATTGCCTCCATTGATGCATTTCACTGTCTACTATTGTATTTCACTCTTTCACTGCATTTCACTACACATTGCATTGCCTTATTTGTTGTATTTTACTCACTCGCTCCATTCTACTGCATTGCATTGCCTCCACTATTGCATTTCACAATGTCACTGCATTGCTTCCACTGATGTTTCACTGCATTGTATTGCCTCAACTTTTGTATTTCACTCACTCACTGCATTTTACTGCCTCAACTAATGCATTTCACTCCCTCACTGCATTTGACTGCATTGCATTGCCTCATTTGTTGCATTTGACTGCATTTCACTCTGTCACTGCATTTGACTGCATTGCTTCCACTGATGCATTTCACTGCCTCCACAAATCCATTCCTCTTTCACAACATTTCATTGCATATCAGTGCCTCCATGGATGCATTCCACTCTCTCACCACATCTACTGCTGCATCACATTGCCCCCTTTCACTAAACTCGCGCGTTTACAAATTGTGAATTTAATTCATGTAAAAAAAATCTGAATACAGCAAGAGTTTAAATGAATTACTTATCAGTTACTATTAATTGCTAAACTAAATAAATAAATAGAACATAATTGTCACTCCCCAGGTAATTGTTGCAAAATATATTTGATATAATAAATTACTTGCAGTTTATAGTGCACAGACCACATGCTCTTAACTTCTGAGAGCAACAGCTTGAGGTAATATTAACCAATCATTGAGACTAATCATTTCATGTTTTTCATACTAGTATAAATAAAAAAAAATACAAAATTAAACGTTTGATTAGAATTAATTTTTTTTTTTATATTATTTTTCATAAAAATTCTTATTTTTGACAAAGAATTTACATTTATGCACATTTTGGATATTTTATTTGCATTTTGGTGTTTCCATCTCGCATTTTTAACACAATATCCCAGATGTGGATGGAAACAATGTCTCTACTGCTTCCTGCTGCTCAGAGGCACATGATGGGCCACACAGGAGCTCTGATGTTCAGGAGCTCGTTTCAGCCTGCAGGACAGAAAACATGAGAGCTGGGAGCAATACAAAAGACTCCTTGTTAACAAATCCAGAGGTTTATTAGATTTGTGCTTGTGTTTTGCGAGTACCACAGGCATGGGTGTAGTTGAGGCAAAGCACTACAGGTGAACAGGGTGACAATTCATTAATAGAAATAAACATATTTTCACCAGTTGATTAAACGGATTAAGACAATGCTTTTGCATTACAAGTTTTCTTAAATATTATATTTAAATGTGCAAATGATGCATTATGTAATTAAATATGCACTAATTTGCGGAACATAAATTTGAACAGTGGATAAAGCCAGGTACGAAATACGTTTCATTTTGTTGACATATTAAAGGACTTATAAATGGGATGTTGGATATTTCTTTTTATTACTCCATAAATCAGAAAATAATGTCAACAGTCAAAAACTAGAATACATTTTCACATGTTTTAAGGAACAAAATGTAATAGAAACTAGGCGAATGATATATGAACAACAAACCCCTCTGCAAAAACCTTCAGAATATAGATAAGAATAAAACTGAAGTTTGGTTTGGTTACATTTCTGGCTCAGTGCAGAATAAAAACATATTCTGAAAAATATGTACTCGAATTAAAATCTACAGACGCAAAAGTGTAATAAAATGAACACTTTGGATGTTTTCTTTCCACTAGTCTGAAAAAAAGACATGTTATGGAAGCAAAATAGCACAAAATCACAAAACTGATTAGTGCATGAATAAAACTAGTTTTGCCTGTAATCACATGTTTAATTATTTATTTATGCATTTAAACAAGAATACGTGTATTTATGCACACATTTATTTGTGTATTTATTCATTTATTGTTTTTGCCGGTTTCGTCCTCCACAGTCAACCACGTCGGTACGCAAATGAGCGTTCTGAACTTTGCATTTTTGGTTGCGCATGCGCACCACTTATGTGCATCATTGATTATTATTAAAAAAAACTTACTAAAATGACCAAAAAAACCTTCAACGTCGACTTTTTTTACCTTTCGATCTAACAAAAGAGCTTCGCCACCTACTTAACCTCAAAAATCACCTCAATACTTCATTATTTCATCACTTAGATTTGCTTTGTCATCTTTACTGGCGCTGAATTCCTCAAACAAAGCGCATGTCAAGCGGTTTGACTCTATAATGATGCTTCTGCACTTATCAGAAGCGGCCGAGAGGAAATTGCATTAGCCCCGTATGCCGTGCGTTAGCGGGTCGCCCCGGCGCTGGGGCCCGGTGAATAATAGCGCCTCTGTCAGCCCTGGCAGCAGGATAAATAGCAAAGCACAGTGCAGATAACACAGCAGCAGGCTAACACAAAGCATATGAGGCAGCTTTAATGCGGCTCTCACAGGCGGCACATTTATTAGACTGTCACAGAAGAAGCTGCGACCACACCAGACTGAGCAGAAGATCCGGACCAACAGCACACAGCTAGACCAGAACCTGCTGGATTCTATTGAGGACCC